AAAACAAGTTTAGGCTGAGCACAGTGGCTCACACCTGTAATCCCAGCACTTTGGGAGACCAAGGTAGGAGGATCGCTTGAGCCCAGGAGTTTGAAACCAGCCTGGGCCACAAAGTGAGACTCCATCTCTACAAAAAAATTAAAAAATTAGCTGTGCATTGTGGCACACACCTGTGGTCCCAGCTACACAGGAAGCTGACACAGGATGATGGCTTGAGCCCAGGAGTTCAGGGCTGCACTGAGCCATGTTCATGCCACTGCATTCCAGCCTGGGTGACAGAGGAGGACCCTGTCTCAAAAAAATGAAGTAAATTGGCCAGGTGCAGTGGTGTGTGCCTGTAATCCCAGCTACCCAGGAGGCTAAGGCACAAAAATCTCTTGAACCTGGTAGGCGGAAGTTGCAGTGAGCTGTGATCACACCACTGCACTTCAGCCTAGGCAACAGACTGAAACTCTGTCTTTAAAAAAAATAAAAATAAAAGACAAGTTTAGGCTGAGTTAAGCCCAGTGGCTCACACCTGTAATCCCAGCACTTTGGGAGGCCAGGGTGGGAGGATCGCTTGAATTTAGGAGTTCAAAACGAGCCGGGGCCACAAAGTGAGACTCCATCTCTACAAAAAAAATTTTTAAAACTCAGCTGTGCGTTGTGGCACACACCTGTGGTCCCAGCTACACAGGAAGCTGACACAGGATGATCGCTTGAGCCCAGGAATTCAGGGCTGCAGTGAGCCGTGTTCACGCCACTGCACTCCAGCCTGGGTGACAGAGTAAGGCCCTGTCTCAAAAAAATTTAACAAATTGGCCGGGTGCTGTGGCGTGCGCCTGTAATCCCAGCTACTCAAGAAGCTGAGGCACAAGAATCGCTTGAACCTGGTAGGCAGAGGTTGCAGTGAGCTGAGATCACACCACTGCAGTCCAGCCTGGGCCACAAAGTGAGACCCTCTCTCAAAAATAAATAAATGCAAGTTTATAGTCAGAAGCTATACAGCTACCCATTCAATAAAATGCATGTGCAATATGGTGGAGGAGCTGTTGTGAACATCCCCATTTGAATGCTGGGCAAACAGAGTAGTTCAAGGTCCCCAAAGGATGCAGCAGGTCGTACTCATTTCAGAAGGGAACTCTGTAGAAACCATCCAGTCTGGGCAGAGCCCCCACTCCACTGGCCTGGAGAGCCACGAATCCGGCGCGCGTCCTCCCCACCTTGCCCACCAGGGGGCGACAAGTCCCTGTTAAGGGGTCGCGGGCCGCAGAGCTGGTGGGAAATGGTTGAGGGGCGTGTGTGGGTCAGCGTTCCTTGGGGACCCGTGAAGCCTGGGCTTAGGGCTCACAGCGTGGGTCCCCAGCACAGACAGGAGGCGGACAACTTCCCGTGAACTGCAGGGGAGTCCCGGGACGCTGTCCTCCAGCGAGGTGGGGACCGGCTACGTCCCTCAGTTCCCCCCTCGGTCCTCGGGCCACAGGGACATTAGACTAGGGGGTCAGTTCTTCCAGCCCTGCTCAGGCCTCTTCTGACTAGAGGAGCTGCGACGGACGCGGAGTTCAGGCCTCTTGGCGACCGCGGTCTCCTGAACTCGACCCCCTCCCTGCTCCCACGGGGAAGAACCCTGCCCCTAGAACGGCCTCCCCTCCAGGTGTCTCCCCTACACTACCCCTCCGCCGGCCGGGCACTCCGCCAGCCCTAAGAAGGCCGACCCTGCCCCTTCTAGCACCTCCCCTGCTTGGACCTGGTCCCCGCCCTCGGCCGCCCGCCAGTCCCCGAGGCGTACACGTGGTAGATCCCGTCAGTCCCGGAAGTCTCGCGTTACTCAAACGCCTCGCGCAGTCGCACTTGCCCTCAGGGAAGGGGCGGGGTGAACGGAAGCCGGGAAGGAGATTCGTGGTTCGCGGGGTGCGGGCGCGCGTGCGCACTCCGCAGCCCGTTCAGGACCGCGGCGCTGGCAGGGCGCCCACGAGCCGGCGGGTTGGTTGCTCCCCCATCCTTCTTTCCCTGGGACCTGGGGTCGCGGTTACTTGGGCTGGCCGGCGAACCCTTCAGTGACCTGGCGAGGAGCGGGCCTCGCGCGCCTGGAAGGCTCTGTGGAGCGAAGAGAGTGAGCACGGGAGGGGCGGCGGAGAGGCGCAAGGTTGGGGGAGACGCGGGATCTGGAGGTGAGTAGGAGGGGACGAGGGGCCGGAAGGAAACAGGGATGTCGAGTGTGTCCCCTCTCGGGTGCACCTTTTGTTTTTGTATTTGTTTCAGACAGCGGCTTACTCTGTTTACCAGGCTAGAGTGCAGTGGCGCGATCCTGGCTCACTGTAGCCTCGAACTCCGGATCTCAAGCGATCCTTCCGCCTCGGCCTGGGTAATTGAAAAAAATTTTCTTAAGACAGGGTCTTGCTGTGTTGCCCAGGCTGGTATCAAACACGCGGGTTCCAGTGATCCTCCCGCCTCGGCCTCCCAAAGTGCTGAGGTTACAGGCGTGAGCCACTGCCGGTCCAGGTGCACCCTTTGTACAGGAAAAGGGGTAGGAAAGGCTTCGAGGTCACTGTGATCCCTCTGATATCGTCCCTTTCCCATGCCAGGGCACACAGCATGGCAGAAAACCGTGAACCCCGAGGTACCGTGGAGGCTGAACTGGATCCGGTGGAGTACACCCTTAGGAAAAGGCTTCCCAACCGCCTTCCCCGGAGGCCCAATGACATTTATGTCAACATGAAGACTGACTTTAAGGCCCAGCTGGCACGCTGCCAGAAGCTGCTGGACGGAGGGGCCCGGGGTCAGAACGCGTGCTCTGAGATCTACATTCACGGCTTGGGCCTGGCCATCAACCGCGCCATCAACATCGCGCTGCAGCTGCAGGCGGGCAGCTTCGGGTCCTTGCAGGTGGCTGCCAATACCTCCACCGTGGAGCTTGTTGATGAGCTGGAGCCGGAGACTGATACACGGGAGCCACTGACTCGGATCCGCAACAACTCAGCCATCCACATCCGAGTCTTCAGGGTCACACCCAAGTAGTTGAAAAGACACTCCTCCACTTATCCCCTCCATGATGTGGCTGTTCGCATGCCGAGTACTGGACCTTGGACCAGAGCCATGTAAGAAAAGGCCTGTTCCCTGGAAGCCCAAAGTACTCTGCATTGAGGGGGGTGGTAATTGTTTCTTGGTGAGCCCAGTTAGTGGGTCTTCCTGAGTGTGTGTGTGTGTGTGATCTGTAACTATTGCCATATAAATAAAAAATCCTGTTGTACTAGTGTCCTGCCACCTCCACGGCCACTGACTCTTTCCTGTGTAAATTCTGTGTGTGCCTGAATAGGGATGGTAGGAAACGCTACAAGTATCTAGCTGAAAGGGGAACCCAAGTGTTTCTTGCCTCCATAGAGAACATAGATTATGCTATGCAGTGTAACAAAACAGTACAGTGCAGAAGCCCAGTCATCCCAATGTTTGTTTTAACGATTTTCATCTTCTAGTTGGGTGCAGTGGCTCCAGCTTGTAGTCCGAGCTACTGGCGGAGGCTGAGGCGGAAAGATCGCTTGAGCCTGGGAATTTGAAGGTACAGGAGTTATGATCGTGCCATCTGCACTCCAATCTAGATGACATACTGAGACCCTGTCTATGCAAAAACCACACTTTTTTTTTTTTTTTTTTCTGAGATGAAATCTTGCTCTGTCACCCAGGCTGGAATACAGTAGTGCCGTCTTGGCTCACTGCAAGGTCAGCCTCCTGGGTTCAAGTGATTCTCCTGCTTCATCCTCCGCAGTAGCTGGGATTACAGGTGAGCGCCACCACGCCCCACTAATTATTTTTGTATTTTTAGTGGAAACACCATGTTGGCCAGGATGTTCTCGAACTCCTGACCTCAAGTGATCTGCCCGCCTCGGCCTCCCAGATGCAAAAAATTTTTGAAAACTAAATGGGTGTAGTGGCTTGCACCTATAATCCCAGCTACCTCATTGGCTTAGGCAGGAAGATCGCTTGAGCCCAAGAGTTCGAGGCTGCAGTGAGCTGTGATCACCACATTTCACTCCAGCCTGGGTGACAGAGCAAGACCGTATCTCAAAAAAAAAAAAAGAAAAAAATGAAGCAAACTAAGACTTCAGGACCTTCTTAGTGTCAGGCTCCATGGTAGGGAGTGACAATTGGCTTCATTTAATTCCTGGACCTGCAGGGCCTGCCGAGATGGCACCCGGGCTTTCAGGTCCAGAGCCCTTCAGACCCTTTTTTGTTTGTTTTTTTTTGAGACAGTTTCACTCTGTCATCCAGGCTGGAGTGCAGTGGTGCGATCTTAGCTCACTGCAACCTCTGCCTCCTGGGTTCAAGGGATTCTTCTGCCTCAGCCTCCTGAGTAGCTGGGACTATAGGCGTGCACCACCATGCCCTGCAATTTTTTGTATTTTTAGTAGAGAAGGGGTTTCACCATGTCAGCCAGGCTGGTCTCAAACTTCTGACCTTGAGCATTCTGCCCGCCTTGGCCACCCAAAGTGCTGGGATTACAGGCATGAGCCATTGTGCCCAGCCTTCAGACCCTTCTCACTGGGCTGCTCCAGTGGCAAAGGGACCCCCCCCCCACGTAATTACTGGGCACACAGGTAATACTTTCTGTTTGGATATTTGTGGGATGGCCTGATTTTTCACATTTATCAAACTAGAGTCAACTAAAGCAATGTTTATCAAAGCGGGTTGTGACCCATTTGTGGGTCACAGCTTCTTAAAAAAAAAAAAAAGGCCAGGGGCGGTGGCTCACGCCTGTAATCGCAGCACTTTGGGAGACTGAGGTGGGCAGATCACAAGACCGGAGATCAAGACCATCCTGGCTAACACAGTGAAATCCTGTCTCTACTAAAAAATACAAAAAATTAGCCAGGCGTGGTGGCACATGCCTGCAGCCCCAGCTACTCTGGAGGCTGAGGCAGGAGAATCACTTGAACCAGGGAGGTGGAGGTTGCAGTGAGCTGAGATCGCGCCACTGCACTCCAGCCTGGGTGACAGAGCAAGACTCCGCTCAAAAAAAAAAAAAAAAAAAAAA